CTGTGAAATATTGGTATGATACATTTAAAGTAATAAAGTATATCATTATGTGTTATGGATTTAAATTTAAGTAGGAGCAATGGTAAGTTCCAAAGGTTGAAGAAAAGATTATAGAGAGAAAACTAAAAATTGAATAAATTCTTAACTTAAAGTCTTCAGTGAATGAATGAAAAACTACCAGTAAATATGTTTTTAGGTAGTACATCTGTGATTTTCTAATTTGAACATTAATCCATGCTCTCTCTCTAAAAAATGAGAGCGCAATTAGAGCTAAGAAAATTCTTATTATGAACTCTATGGCATGACTTCCAGTTTTGTTTTCTACTTTTGTAGCTTGTTTCCTATCTACAAGCTGTGCCTGATTTTTTGATCTGACTTTGATTTTTTTTTTCATGGTCCTGTAAATAATAATGTTTATAGTAAGCCAAGAATATTATTCAGATTTCTCTACTAGCTATCTGACAAACTAGTCTCAGCTGTATCTCCTCATTAGTACTAAAAGAGAGTCAAATCATGGGCTTTGATGTCACACAGACTTAAGATGAAATTCTGGTTATGATATTTATTGTGATCTTGGGCATGTGACAATCTGTGAATCTAAGTTTCTCCATATGTAAAAGAGAGGAAATAATTCGTACAGGGATGTTGCTGTGATTAAATGAGAGAGTGTATGTAACTTAGCACTCTGCATGAGGAATAATTGGTGCTATTGTGGTTAACCTTAATAAAAGTTATTTTAGCTGCCCAGGGAAAGAAAGAGTCTAAAGGTCTCATAGGATTTAGCAAGTGGGGTTTCTGGCTTTTTGAGGACAAGTTTAGCATGATGACAGAGAGACCAGAATGCAGTTAGTAGCAGAAATGATAGGCTGTCATAATTATTTGTGTGATTATTTGATTAATGTCTGTCTTTTCTAAGATTCAGAACTCTTAAGGGCAGGGATGTTTTCCCCTATTTTTACATCCTTTGCTTCTGACATGGTGCTTGAAGTATAATAAATACTTTTTACACTCAGTAAATACTTTTTGAGTAGAAATTATTTAGGTACTTTGGTTCTCCCAACCCCCCCCCCAAAAAAACCCCTCATATTAAATATGTCATTTAATCCATCTCTAAGTGTATTTTGAGTTCTAGCTTCAGATGCCCTTGGCTGTGTGTTACCAACGGTGTTTTCTAAGGATTTTTTATAAATTGAAGGTGGCCTGGATATGGTGTAGGCTGGGCCAGAAACACCAGTATATTGAGTTAGGAATTTGTGAGCTTCAGGTTTCCTGCTAGTGTGACTCTTTAGAAAAACCTATCAATTTTTCTCTGATGTTTCTTTTGTTTTCCTGAAGATACCTGGAATTGCTCATCTGCTGTTTCCTCTTACCATTACTGTACTCTGCTACCACCTGCTATTTCTTCCAGCTCTTCTGATTCATTTGACTCCACCTCTGAAGTGTGAGCTTTTTTAAAGCTTTTACTACTAGTGACAATGAAAGAACATAAACTGACAATACAAAAAGATTCTTTTACTATTATTATTTCTTTACTGAAACTTTACAAACTATGTAAAACACTCTAATGTCGGTTTTGGGTGCTAGAGGAGGACTTTTAGAGGGAATTTATTTCCTTTCTACCCCTAAGCTTTAAACATGGTGAGTCTTACGTGGTACTGAGCCACCTAAGTTGTAGTTTCTGTTAAAGAGTTAGGGCCCTAGGGTCAGTTTCCAACTCTGTTTCCTATTTGACCTTGAACAAATTGATTACTCCATTCCTCAGTTTCCTCATCTGTAAAATGGGGATAATAATAGTTTCTTCCTCATAAGGTTATTAGGATTAATGAGATTATATATCTGCGTGCCATCCATCTATTGAAAATAATGCCTTGCAATGCTAAGTACTCAGTAACTGTTAGTTATTGTGTTGCCTCTCCTTTTGGTATGTGCAAGGCTCTAGGAATTTAAGAGATGAGTAAAATAAAGCTTCTGGTGTCAGAAAAGTCAGAGAAAAGGAAACAGGGGCAAGCAAATACTTGCAGTACATTATGGTAAGTTGGGTAGTAGAGATACGTAGTGTATCCTACAAGGTGAGATAGAGACATCATTTGTGTTCAGGCTGACTGGGGAAAGGTCAGGAAAAACTGATGAAGGAGAGACTGAAGCAGAATTTGAAGGATGAGTTCTGGTTTCTGAAGAGGAAGGAGTTTGACAGGTGGAGGTTCTATAGGTCGTACTATCTAGGGACTTTGGAGGAAAAAATGCATATTTTTTGTTTAAGCTCCCCGCCTCCTAAATCTCTGGGGGCTGGGAATCTCTTTTGTGGTTTTTTGTATTGTTTTGCTTTTAACAAAAAAGCTCAGGACTCACCGATGCAACCATTGCCAAGTCATTTTCTTTTTTTTTTTTATTTTTTATTTTCTTTTTTTTTTTAAAAGATTTTATTTATTTATTTGAGAGAGTGAGAGAGAGCATGAGAGGGGAGAGGGTCAGAGAAAGAAGCAGACTCCCCACTGAGCGGGGGAGCCCAATGTGGGACTCAATCCTGGGACTCCAGGATCATAACCTGAGCTGAAGGCAGTCGCTTAACCAACTGAGCCACCCAGGCGCCCCTGCCAAGTCATTTTCAAAAAGAATTAAAAGTTTTGGGTTTTGGGAAACTAAAGTGAATACCATATTGCCATTCAATGAATCAGTTGATGATTTTATTGTTTGTATGATAATGTTCAACCAGGTGGTTAAGATAAACCGACTTTTAGATTATACTTCATTACTTAGGAAATCTTAATATTTTATAAATTAAATATCATTCTATCATGGTTAAGTTATATTGAGGCCTGTACTTGATTAAGTATGTGGATATTAGGGTGTGTAAAAATCATTAGCTTTAGGAACTATTTTTGTTTGTAGGATAACAGGCATGATTATTTGCAAAATTATATATATATGCTGCTTTTCAAGGGTGATGAGAAGAATGTTTAAGTCATAATTACCTGGGCAATCCATAGTTGTCGATTTGTATTCATAGCAGTATAACATGTTGCAGTAGTGGTTACTAATATGCTGAGTATTGGGGGTATATTCAGCAGATATTAATGATGAAATATCTTGTAAAAACACAAATTTGTTGAATTAAAAAAATGGGGAGAATGAAGAATTTACAAATGGAAGGACAAAATATTTATATTTAGCGTAGTTAGCTTTCACAGTATTTTATTATAAAGCCTTTTTCAAAAAACATATTAAGAAGAATTTAATGCAATTTTTTTTTTTTTTAAAGATTTTATTTATTTATTTGACAGAGAAAGACACAGCGAGAGAGGGAACACAAGCAGGGGGAGTGGGAGAGGGAGAAGCAGGCTTCCCGCGGAGCAGGGAGCCCGATGCGGGACTCGATCCCGGGACTCCAGGATCATGACCTGAGCCGAAGGCAGTCGCTTAACCAACTGAGCCACCCAGGCGCCCGCAATTTTTTTTTTTTTAAGATTTTTTTATTTATTTGACAGAGAGAGACACAGAGAGAGAGGGAACACATGCAGGGGGAGTGGGAGAGGGAGAAGCAGGCTTCCTGCCAAGCGGGGAGCCCGATGCGGGGCTCGGTCCCAGGACTCTGGGATCGTGACCTGAGCCGAAGGGAGACGCCCAACGACTGAGCCACCCAGGCGCCCCTAACACAATTCCTTAATGAAAATATTTTCATTTTTATCTAGAGAGCTATAGAGGGTGCTGTATCATTAGGAATAGTATCTTAACTGGTTTTAGCTAATTAGGCCAGACTATTGAAGTTCGTTAAGTTCTCTTGGATATACATTTTTGCTCACTATTTTAACTAAAATTATAGTGACTAATGTTGCATAACTGATATACCTTATAGTTTATAATAATGTTGTAACATACTTTGTTGCAAAATGTTTTTTATCAGGGTGCCTGGGTGGATCAGTTGTTGGACATCTGCCTTCGGCTCAGGTCATGATCCCAGGTTCCTGGGATCCAGCCCCGCATCGGGCTCCCTGCTCAGCGGGAAGCCTGCTTCTCCCTCTCCCACTCTCCCTGCTGTGTTCCCTCTCTCGCTGTCTCTCTCTCTCTGTCAAATAAATACATAAAATCTATAAAAAATGTTTTTTATCTTCCAGATTGTTTGAGTATAGTTGAAATTTTGGTCTCCCCATTTCATATTGGTTACAGTAGCAAAGGTTTATTTTCCTACCATCTACCCTGACTCTCCCCTCCCAAATTGAGAATTCTGATAATTTAATTGGTAGGCTTACGTAAGCAATCTCTTCTCTTCAGATGGGTGCCAATGAGTCAAAGATTACCAAGCCATATAATGAGAATATATATTTTAGGTTCAGAAAGGGTATTATCTTTAGAAGGAAAGATTGTTAGAACAAAATGGTATTTAAAAACCTGGCAGACTATAGAAGTCGTGTTTGGTAAGCCAGAAGTCTGGCTTTTCTGCTGACTAATTTATTATTCAGATAGGAGTTTTGTAAATTCTAAACTTCACTGTTCCCTAATTTTTCTAGTTTAATGGTGATTTTAGAAAACTTGAGGTAGAATTATCTGGTAATAACTTTTATTTTAAAGGATTGCTGTTAGAAAACAATTTTTAGTAACTTTGGATTCAGTTTCACCAGTGCTGAAGAATGAGAGATTATTCGAACTTGATGAAGTGATATATTTTGGAATAAAAAGCAGTAAGTTAGCTATTTTTAAAAGATAAGGAAAATGTTAGGTAAGTATCTTCTAAAATGTAGGCAACTTTAAAGGGTTTTCACCCAAACTTTGCCAGGAATTTCTTCCTTTTTCCTGAAACCATATTTTAAATATTTATTACGAAGTTTTATACTGTAGTTTCTTTAAAATAACAAGCAGGAATTTGTCCTCCCATTACCCCCCCCAAAGTGAAAGTATTTTCTCTTGTTGTGGGTTAAAGGTTTGCTATTGTTCAAGCTTTCTTATTAAACAAGTGTACTCTGTTTTTTTGTTTTGTTTTGCTTTTGTTTTTTTTAACTCTCAAGGCACCACCTTCCATGGTTAATAATGAACAACGCCAGCATGCAGAGCACATATTCTTATCATTTAGGAAATCAAAATCACCATTTGCGGTTTGCAAGCATATTTTGGGTAAGTATTCACTTTATAAAAATATTTTTGCAGAATCAAATCTCGTTTTTCTATCTTAAATGTTAGATATTTTAAGGTCCTTTTAAAACAAGCAGGTTTGTATAGTTATAATTTTCCATTAGTAATCACTCTATTGAAGTGGCTTTAAAGATATTCCATAAAGCCAGAGAACTTTGTTTTTACTTTGAATTTTCTTCCCCTGAATATAGTATTCAATAATTTGTTTTATTATTGACCATAACATGAAGGCTGTTAATGGTGGGGGGGAAAGTCTAATAGTTTTTCAGTTGTTTTCAAGAGTGCTATCACTTATCATAGGAAATGTACTATAAAATATCTTATCCTAGTGTTTTAAAATTACTGTTTTTGGAGGTTTCAACAGTTTTTCTTTTAGTTTTATTAAAAAAATTTTTTAACCGCATACTTTGTACTCAGCTTGCTTAGCAAATATTAGTCAATTCTGTGTAGGTTATCACTGTATATTTTTAAATGAAGCATTTTTACTCTTGTAAAAATGTTATATGAGTACCTTTTATCTGACATGTATAGAAATGATCTCTTTCCTTTAAAAATAATCACAAAAGTTATAAGTCTTGTCCAAAAATGGTATTTTCTAAAAGATTTACACACACAGTCTTCTGCCTCTTATATGTTTTTCAATAATATAAGAGAGATTTCATTGGTTATTGTTATTTTATACCTTAATTATTTCTGGCTCTTTTTCTTAATTGGAGCCATTTTTTGTGACCCATATTTGAGGCTCTGAGTTATCCTTGCCCACAAAATTGATTAGTTGTGTATTAAGAACTAAAATATCTGACCTTTTATTCTTGTGCTTTTAGTAAGACTTATCTGTTAGCCAATCTGGTTTCCAGATTGAAATAGCCTATAATTAAAATTATGTTAATAATGCTTTACATAAAGGGCTTATAAATGAGTTGTTCGACTGGAGTAGAAAGAGCATTGCTGTAGGTACTGTGAGATCTGGGCACCAGTGGTGCCTGTTGCATGGTATCAACTTGCGGAAGTCACTTAGCCCTTTTTTCATCAATAAGAGGAGAATAGTGGTACCATTTTCCTTAATGGACTTGGTTGCCTTAAGCTGTTATGAGGCACAAATGTAGTAACATTTAAAACCACTTTGTAAACAGTAACGTAAGTGACCCCATTACCTGATTTCAAAAGACATTTTAAAAATAATAACCTTAAAAATGTGCTCTGTTCTCTGTTTGCAAGGAGCTAGCAGTGATGGTGAAGGTGGCTCTGTCTCATTCAGGAGTTAGATCTTACCATTAGAGGGACAGTTTTAATAACCACCTTTTAAATTCTAAATGAGGCAGTTTTGATCTTTTTTATTTTTTATGCTCAGTTTTTATACGTTGGGGTGAATTTGTTTCTGGCACTAAGAAAATTTGTTATCATATGCCTGTGAGGAATATTTAATTTCATGTTAAATTACAAGAAGCAAAACTAAGTATCACTATTAGGAATTTAAGGGAGCCTTTGTCTTTACTGCCTTGAAATTGTTCAGCATTTAGAAATTAGATTTAGAAAGCCATCGTATTAAACTAGTCACCTAAAATAATTTGAGTCTGGTTTTTATGGCATATGCCTTAATTACATTAATTAGGAGTCCATCATTTTCATCTGACTTTCATTGTAATTCAGTTATCATTCTGTACTAGTTGGGAAATAGTTGATCTAAGTTGTAAGTATTTTATTAGAGTGTATTTGTTTATACGACTCTTTCTTTTTTAAGAGTATGTATATTTTATGAAGTACTATTGCTTTGTTATGATTTGAGCTTGTTTTAGAATACTTTTGTTTTCCTGATAAAAATTTCTAAAGAATAGTATTGCTAGTTCCAGCTATGCTTTTAAAATCAGTTTGGGTTTTGAGACATTAACTATTTAAAAGGTTGAGTGCATGTATTATAAGCATAATCTAATCATTAATGTACTGCAAAGCCCTGTGTTACATTAATGTTTACATCTAAACTTCACAGAAAATCTTTCAACTCCTTACTCAGTTGCCACCAGCACAGAAGGGTTAATTCCTCTAAGAAGACTTCTCATACAAGTGGCAGTCAATCGCAATTCAGAATTTTCACATTCTTATTTAGGGATAATATGTCATTTTTATACAGTGTCTGGGTGATATATTCTAATAAAGGGGAGACTTTCTCTTTGATGCTTCCCCTTTCTGGCCTCTTAAACTTCTTCCTTCCCACTTCTGACTTAAGTTTTATGCTTCTTGTTTTTCCTCATTTCTTTCTCTTCTTATGCTTTTATTTTTATTCTAGGTTTACTTTTCTACTCTTCTCTGTGTGTGTGCACACGTGCATGTGCGTGTGCATGTTGCAAGCCTGTGCATTTTTTCTTAAGAGTATTTTTAGACTTCTTCGCTTCAGAAGTCTTTGGCACTTAAGAATTTGCTAGTTTGGTCTGGTGGAATGTGCGTTCACAAATCCTCTGAGTTCTGTTCTTGGTAAAGAAATACCCCCAACTAGTGAGAGATTGGTTCAACGCTTCCAGAACTAACTTTGTAGCATTCTTCTGTCCTCTCAGGGAGAAATGGATTTCTTTAATTTCTTATCTCAGAAGTGGTTGGAACAAAACAAAATGAAACCTGAGACTTACTCTTGATTGGTGTGCCTATGTATCATTAAGCAGACTCTGGAGCTTCTATTGCCTATGCTTTGGACAGAAATCTTTAAGGCCAGAGAGGTAATTGTATGTAGTAGCTGAACATCTGGGACTTGACTACTATAGTTTTAGTTTTCTTTTGAAAATATTTTTTCAGTGTAGTGCTCTGCCTCTCATTATTTCCTTCACTTTAACTTTTGTCTTCATGGTTCTGTGTAGTTTCAGATGGCTGACATGATAGAAATTAATTTTATTTACATAATTATTATTAAAGAAAGTTACTATGGTAGGAAGTGAAAGCTTCCTGCTAAAGTGGCCTAAAATAATTTATTATCTAGACAGTGTCCTGGTCAGTGGAGAATCATCCTAAAAGTATCAAAAATTCTAGATAGATGTGATTTCCTCATGAAAACCTTGCAATTTCGAGCATCTTTAGAGCAGAGAGCAAGAATAAGGCTTGTTTGTCCATGTGAAGTCCTACTAATCTTCTGCTGGTAGCTTTTAGAGAACCATATAGCTTCTTTTGCACATTTATATTACATACAAGTACAGTTTATGAAGGCTAATCATAAGTTTTATGAGAAGGAATAATTCATTAGGTTAGGAAAATTCCTCCTTTTAAATTTGGAATTTGGCTTTCCTTTTTTCAGATCCTCCACTCTTAGAGACAGCTTCATATGGGAGTAGTAATTTAGATATGCCTATTTAATATCAAGCAGAGGTATCTAAGAGTTATCTTGGAAACTTTCAAATGTCATTCACTTTCTGCAGTTATTTCCTCCCCCATCCCTTGCAAATAAAGAAGAGGAGTCAGGAAAAATGGGTTGGATATAAGCACAAACAGTTAGAAATAAGCATGTCTCATTGCTTATGAAAACAAGAAGGTGCTTGTTTGGTCTTCTCTTCTTTGGTGTATATGCTTTTAGGGGCGGGTTAGTATTGCTCAAGGAACATTTACCAGCCATGTGACCTTGAATTTCTTCTCTTAATCTCTGGTTCATCAACACTTTCTTTAGCTATAAAATGCGAAAAATGAATTAGATGATCTTTGGAGTTGTAGTTCCAAAATTCTGTGAGTCCCTAAGATTTTGCTTCTTTGTTAAAACCGATAGTTAAGGATTTCAGGTTTCTTGTCCTTAAAATTTTTACTATTTCAGTAGAAAATGAAATTAGGCCATCAATCATCATTTACTTTCAAGAAGAGGTTTATAAGAGATTGCTTGAATTACCTTTATGAAGCAGTACCATAGTTCTCCTTAAGTGATCTAAATAGATACAGCTAGTTTCTGTTTCAAATCCTCTTTGAATAAAAGTTTTTTGTTTTTTTTTCTCCTGGAACTTTAAACACCTCTTTTTATAGTAGGTTTACATTTTTGGAAGCTGTTGCTTTATCTGTTGATAATATTTTAAAGTTTCTCAATTTTTGTGAGTTCTGATTATCATCTCAATTAGAGTTCATGTTAAGATAGCATGGAATAATCAAACTTAAAAAGAGTCCGAATTGGTTCCTCTTATTAGTTTTTGTATGTTCAAAACTCATATGTAGTAGTCTAAATTGATAGGAATTTATGTAGGGTATACCTTTTCTCATGCATTTTTATAGCTTATTGTGTCAAGATCACTTACAAGATGTTTAAATGACCTAAGCTTGAGTAGGAGAGAATATGATGTGCCTGACTATATCTTCATGTTCTTCTGATAAATTCTTGAAGGTGTCATTCTATGCCTAGAGTTAATTTCTCATGGCTTTCAGATACTCATGTCTAGTGATCTTGGCAAATAACCTGCAGTCTAATCATAGACTTTTCATGGATTTCACATGATGGTTATTTTTTAGAACTTCAGAAAATTTCTACTTTTTCTTGACTTCATTTTGACTGTTTCTCCCTTTTGATAATGCTGTTTGGAAACCGATTGTAGTGATATTGGTGAATGAAAGAAAAAATAGAAAATTAAAATATTTCTTACGTATGTTAATTTTCTATTTTTTCTTTCCCTCCTGATTTAGTTTGTAGTTCAGAAACTATAACTTGCTAGTTAAGGCTGGGTTTTTCTAAGTGTAGCTTTGGAATTTTATTCAGTTTGATCAATATTGCAATCAGAAAATTCACAAGAACTTCTCACCTTGTGTAAATATGACTCAAAAAAAAATTTTTTTTTTAACATTTTGAGAAAAAAAACCTGAACGTGATTGTGTTTATTTCTGAACTTGCTATTGGAGATGGGCCATCCTGCTGAAAGCTTAATCACTTAACAAATATTTTAACAGCATGGCTCATCACAAATAGTAATGTTCAAAGACTAGTTTAAGATATTTTGCAGATACAAAGCTCTATTTTGCACAGGGTGAGAATCTCTTAGGAAATTTTCTGATTGCTTTATATTTTTATTTTTATTTTTTTTAAAGCTGTGTTATTTTTTAGTTCTTCATGCTTTGGAAGTAACAGTTGAAGAGAGGTGAGGAAAGTTTGTGAAAATTGTGATCGGTGATTAGCTGCCACCTGCCTGGGGTGTCTTCTGAGAGGAACTAACCTCTTTGTGGTGCTAGAGCAAGGTCACTGGATTAAAAAAAGAACAGGTAACCATCTTATTCCTTGTCTGAAAAGTTCTGTTTTTAAATTAATAAATGCAAAATGTTCAAAGGAAGATGAACTGCTGTTTAAAGAAAGTTTCTAATTTTCTCCTCAGAAACAAGTAAAGTGGACTATGTCCTCTTTCAAGCTGCCACAGCCATAATGGAAGCAGTTGTCCGAGAGTGGATTCTCTTGGAAAAAGGTAGCATCGAGTCACTGCGAACATTCCTTTTAACATATGTCTTACAAAGGCCTAAGTAAGTATGTGGTGGAGGTACTGCTAAAATGCTTTTGCTGTGCTTCTCTCTCTCTTTTTTTTCTTTTTCTTTTTTTTAATGATAGATGTTTATGGTTAAGCCCTGCTTGGGGCTCATATTTTAAAACTCACACACATGGTTGTGGGTTGTTTTTGGTCCTTAATGAAATACTACTTATTATTTAAGCTTACAATACTAGGTTTTGTTTCTTTGAAAAGATGATGCTGGATGTTAGGTTTTTTTGGTGTTGGTTTAGTTCCAAAGATTTTGGTTATAAATAAAAGTTGATCTTAGACTCAAGTGAAATCCTTTGTACTTATTCTTTTGGTACTTGGTAAGTATTATAAGACATAGGTGAGTATCCTAGGACAGGTGAAGAGGGAAATCTAAGTACCATTAACAAACCAAGTGTTACATATATATGTACACAGAAATGTACATTAATAAGGTAGTAGAAGAGAAAGCACCAAATTTTAATAGTTTCTTTTGGAAAACGGATCAGTTTTAAGAAATGGAATACAAGTAAGTTTTCTTTTTGTGCTATACACATTCTATTGTTTGAACATTTTATAAGATTTGTACGTTCATTCCTTATATGATTAAGTCCCCCAAACACCAAGTCTTCTTTTAAGAAGAGGCAATGCACACTGTATGTATGCCATGTGCGCAGTTGGACAATTGAATACTTTTTTTTTTTTTTTATTCTTATGTTGATCCCCTTGAATACTTTTTATATAGATGTTCATTTCCAAATTCGGTGAAGAAAATGTTATGTAATCAGAAATGCTGGTAATTAGGAATGTCTGATAGTGGCATTAAACATGCATAAAGCTTTAAAAATAATTTAGAACATACCTTTGTTCCTACTGATTGTTCACTAGCAGTCTCTGAGTTCCTAATATTTAATAATAATTACTGCACGAATTTAACACACAGTCAAGTGCTAGTTGCTTTTCGTATGAAGAATGCATGAGAGAAAAAAGGCAAGATTTACTTAGCCTATAAACATTACAAGTGTAATGGGTAAGGTTTTCTATAAATGAATGAATATAAATGTATGTAAAGGGAAGGTTTGGCTTGTTTTTCCCACTTTTAATAGAATAAGGAAAAACTGGGTTTCAAACCTTTCTCTTCTCCTTCACACTGGTTTTCTTTATTTAAATTTTAATTTGTTGTTTGATGAGGCCATTTGGGTGTGATATGATACTGGCTTGCCCTGGAGCTGCTCATTGATCCCCCACCCTCCCCACATGGGAACCACTGAACTCTGGAGAGTTTGGTAAACTTAAATGTGTGGTAGATTTTGATTGTGCATGTGATCTCCTGTACTATCCAAAAATAATCTCATTCTTTTTTTTTTTTTTTAAGATTTTATTTATTTGAGAGAGAGCAAGTACATGGGAGAGGGAGAAGCAGACTCCCTGCTTAGCAGAGAACCCAACGCAGGCCCGATCCTAGGACCCTGAGATCATGACCTGAGCTGAAGGCAGACACTCAACTGACTGAGCCACCCAGGCGACCCGGAAATAATCTCATTCTTAAATAATTTTCATTAGTTCAAGGAGCTCTTTTGGAGCTGATTGTAGTTCACATATATATTTTCTCCCAAACTCTTTAAAAACAAAACTCTCAGCAAAGTTAAAGGAAGAGTACAGTGAACACACACATACTCTTTTCCTAGTAGGGGTTCAGTTAACATTTTGTCACATTTGATTTCTCTTATATATGTGCATTTACCCCCCAAACCACCTGAAAGTATGCCGCAGAAATCATGATACTTCATCCTTAAATACTTGAGCATCTCTCCTGAGAGCATAATCTCAATACTCTTGATATAATTGGCTTATCTGTATTGATCTAATGTAATTCTGATTATTTATTTTCATTTCCTCAGTTTTCTGAATAATATTATCGATATCGTTTCCTCCTTTATGTTACTTGTTTGATCCAGGATTTAACCACAGATTCTATGTTGTATTTAGTTGTCATGTCTCTTTAGTCTCTTTTAATCTGGAATAATTCTGCCCTTTTTTTTGTTTTTCATGACACAGCCATTTTTATCTTGTAGAATTTCCTACAGTATGGACTCAAGTCAAGTGAAAACCGTTGGTATACTGCATAGGTAGAATACCATGAATACTATGTTCATAGTGTTGTATACTTCTCATTTGGTGCACAGGGTTTTTTCTGTTTTTTTCCTCCTAATTGAGATAACATTTATATAGAGTAAAATGGAAGGTGCACTTGACAGTATAGCAGAGTGGTTGAGAAAGGGACTGTGATTTCCACTTCTGCCATTCTCTGTGCACGGGCAGATGACCCTCTTTGTACATTAGTTTTTTTAATTGTTGTTATTATTAATTAACTGTTAGAGTTAATATTATTTTACTCAAAAGATAGTTATGAGGATTAAATGTATTAATTTTTGTGAAGGTGGTTTATAGGAAGCCTTGCATACCATAAGCATCAACAAATGTTAGCCATTATTATTTATTTTCCTAGTAAGTTATAATTCTTGCCAGTGGACTTCCTTAAAACTAGCTTTGTGGGGGAGCCTGGGTGGCTCAGTTGGTTGAGCATCTGACTCTTGGTTTTGGCTCAGCTCATAATCTCAGGGTCATGGGATCAAGCCCTGCATCAGGTCCCTGCTGAGTGGGGAGTCTGCTTAGAGATTCTTTCCCTCTGCCCCTCCCCCCAGTCACACACACATGCATAAGCCCCCCCCTCAAATAAATAAATCTTTAAAAAATAAATAAAACGAGCTTTATGTACATTTCCTAGGAGTAGTCCATATATTTGAAATTATTGTGTTCCCCCAAAAGTATAAAAATTCACTTTGGTCAACTCATATTCTTCCACATAATGGATCTCTGCATTTATTTGTTTAATGAATACTTCGAGTCTGTATTTTGAAGGAATACTTTTCACTTCAGTCTTGACATAGGGAGACATGTTTGTATAAATGTCTAGTAAATGCCCATCATGTGTTGGGGGAGCCCTCCTTAGTAATGGCCCACCACGTTCAGGGAGCTGTTCAGGGAATGTCTCTGGAGAAAGTGGCATCACGATCTTGGCAGAGGACATAGACATTTAAAGGCCTGGAAGTGCATGTGCATTGTGCCAGGAACTGAAAGAAGCTCAGTGTTTCTGTAGTTTTGAGTGTATGTGGGTGGGGGGAGATTAGAGAGGGCAGCAGGTATACCTGACCATGAAGGGCCTTGGAAGTGGGTGACTGTATCATTTATGTCCAAATGGGGACACTTTCCAGGGTTAAAGAAAACACTATTAGTAAGTAATGATGTAAGACAACAGGTAAATTGGGAGCGTCCAAAGAAAGCTGGGCTGGGTCCCACTGCTTGTAAGCCATGTTAAGGAATTTGTAGTTTATCCCAAGGACACATGGTTGTCATATCCTGTGGCATTCTAGAGTCTGGATTATAAAGCTCAGAGTTATGTTTTCTGAACCTTATCTTTAAGAAAAGGTTGTGAAAAGACAGTTAAATCTCTATTTCCTTGTGGTCTAATAGACTTTGTAGAATGCCTCCAGTTGGGATCGGTGCTTCTGCCATCACACTGAGGAGCACAGTTTAGATAGGAAATTTTTAAAAGTTTTAAAAAAATTTGTATGTGTCCATAATATATCATGGGTAGCTAGCATGTTGCCTTTTCACATTAAAGGAAATGAATTTAAGATTATACCACTGGGTGGAGATGGATATTAGATCAGAATTTCTTATGATAGAATCATAAGCTGGCTCTTAGTGAACTGACTTGAATCTATTGAACACTGCCTGAAGCAGCTAACACTTACCGAGCACTTAGTATGCACTGGGCACAGTTTTAAGAACATTTAATCCTAGTAACAACTCTGTTACTGTTACCCCCTTTTAATAGATGAGAAAGCTTGAGGCTCTGAAACTGTCTTGCTCAGGGTCACATAGCCAGTAACATAATGGAGTGTAGATTCAAATCCGGATCTTATGCCTTTGGACACTGTGCATAACCAGTAGGCTATACTACCCTCATAGGCAAAGCAGTGTTATTAGTAGCTTCAGACATAGTGAGAAATTTGGAGTATTTTTATATTAGATTCATGTAAAGGTTTTCACAATGATTTTTATGTTTTACAGCCTCCAAAAGTATGTTCGGGAACAGATTCTATTAGCAGTAGCAGTAATTGTAAAACGAGGATCCTTAGATAAATCAATTGACTGCAAAAGCATTTTTCATGAAGTCAGCCAGTTGATAAGTAGTGGCAATCCCACTGTGGTAAGTACGCTATCTGTATTTATAAATATTTAAAATTTTTATTTTGCATGACACAAATAACAGTAATGATATCTACATTAAAGAACAAGTGCACAGTCTGAGAAGCAATTTTCATTTGTTCATGTTTTCTTTTAGTCCTTTTTTATGTTTACATACTATCGATATTGTGTACTTTGCTTTTTCATTTGACTCTGTTTTTCCATGTTGGCATTGTTGATAATCAGCATTTTAATGGTATAAAATATTATAAGCCAATACACTGTAATATTCTTAAACATTTCTATTGAGCGTTTGTCCTCATTTAATAAACTGTTGACAACTGCTAGTGATAATAGAAATGTTTGAATAAAATATAAAATGATATGTAATGTAACAAAAATTATTTAAATGTTGCTGTACTAATGGGTCAAGGTATACTTTGACCACCAGTATTAACTGAACAAATTTGAGAACGTTGTTCTTGACCGAATTACTCTGGGGAACCTGTTTTTTTCCCCTTTCAGTCTCCTGTCTACCTTTTGAGAACTAGTCATGCCTAGAGAGTGACTGGTAGTAGCCTCCTGTCAGAGGCAGGAGGAGTTGGAGTTGGTGTTAGTGATCAGCTGTGATCCGTGGTTAGAACTTTTGACTGTTATCAGCTGAAGGATGTTGTGGAATTGGGATTGGTAATACCTGGCTCTTCTGATTTTCAGGTATTAAATCTTTAAATATTTTGGGTAGTCATTTGGAAGATATTTATGTGAGGCTATACACCTTACAACTTCTTATGAATTACTTTACATTTTCAGTGGCCCCTCAGTGAGTGGTATGATTTTAATAATATATTTGATTGTTTGAGGTTAGGGTGTAGGTACATTTTTGGAGTACTCTAACATTGTCCCTTACTTTCCATAGTATCTTGGATCTCCCACCCCTCATACCTCTTACCATAAGCAGATGTGCACTCTCTTCTTTGCTCTAGCCATCTGTCCACCACTGTGGCTTGGATCCCCAGTCTGATGTACCAGGGTCTCAACTGAAGGACTGCGTAAGCAAGTTGTCAGGACGTTGGAACTTCTTCTACATACCCAAAGTATATTTTGTTTTTCCTTTGGAATGCACCAGTGGTCATATATCTATTCTTTTTCCTTATCAACTTTATTGAGGAATAATTTACTTGTGTTACCATATCCATTTAAAATGTACACTTCTGGGGCGCCTGGGTGGCTCAGATGTTAAGCGTCTGCCTTCGACTCAGGTCATGATCTCAGGGTCCTGGGATCGAGCCCCGCATCGGGCTCTCTGCTTGGTGGGAAGCCTGCTTCTCCCTCTCCCACTCCCCCTGCTTGTGTTCCTTCTCTCACTGTGTCTCTCTCTGTCAAATAAATAAATCTTGTTGGGGCGCCTGGGTGGCTCAGTTGGTTGGGCGACTGCCTTCGGCTCAGGTCATGATCCCGGAGTCCCTGGATCGAGTCCCGCATCGGGCTCCCTGCTCAGCGGGGAGTCTGCTTCTCCCTCTGACCCTCCGCCCTCTCATGCTCTCTGTCTCTCATTCTCTCTCTTGCAAATAAATAAAAAAATCAAATAAATAAATCAATAAATCTTGAAAAAAAAATAAAATGTACATTTCTTTGGTTGTGACAGTTGTGTATGAACGACCGTCACAGAACAGATACAGAACAGTTTTTGATTGTGTAGATATTATGTTCTTTGCCATTTTTGCAGCAGATTTCTTCAGGAGTACTGCTCTCCGGTAGAACTTCCTGTGTTGATGCAGATGTTCTGGATCTCTGCTCCCAATATGCAGCCACTACACCAGACACATGTGGCTTTTGAGCATTTGAAATGTGGCTGGTGTGACTGAGGAACTGAATTTTTATTTTTTATTAATTGAAATTCAAATAGTTGCACATAGCTTGTGGCAACCATATTGGACAGTGTAGTTCTAGAGACTTTGATAATCCAAAGGTCTGATTTTATGGGTGTGTTTTTTTTTTTTCCCACTTAGTATTGGAAAGTTTTAATTGCTTACATAAAACTAACAACTTCAAATATGTGCATGTTTGAGTCATTGCATTTTATCAGTCATTTTGGCTTTGTTTTATGTAGTGAGAAGCTCTCTTAAAAATAGTCCTCAAGGTTCCATTTAAGATTTTTAGATAAAAATAATTGGGAAGCTACTTTTTACTTATGTTAATCTTTATACTTTCAGAATTTCTGTTGGTAGACATGGTCTCCATTTCTGATAATGAGCTTTGCTCTTGTGGTGCTGATGCCTCGGGATTGCCTACATTAGTTGTGTAATGGTAATCTTGTTATTTGCATGGATTTTTGTTAGCATTTGTTGCCTAAGTAATGGCCATGTGTGCAATCCAATGGTGGCTGTCATTGATGGCTAATGGAAAAACAAGTAGAGACTATAACTGGCCAGAAGTGGTAGGGAAGGGGTACATGCACCATGATGTTTATAGCAACATTATTGACAGTAGCCAAACTATGGAAAGAGCCTAAGTGTCCATCAACTGACGAATGGATTAAGAAGATGGGGGGGTGTATGTATGTATATATATTTATATATGTTTTATATATATGTATACACACACACACAAAATGGTGTATTATTCAGCCATCAAAAAGAATGAAATCTTGTCATTTGCAGTGACGTAGATGGAGCTAGAGTGTATTATGCTAAGCAAAATAAGCCAGAGAAAGATTTCAGTCATATGTGGAATTTAGGTAACAAAACATATGAACATATGGGAAGGGGGAAGGAAGAGAAGGAAGCAAACCATAAGAGACCCTTAACGATAAAGAACAAATAGGGTTAATGGAAGGAGGTGGGTGGGGAATGGGCTAAATGGATGATGGGTATTAAGGAGGGCACTTGTTATGATGAGCACTGGGTGTTCTGTGTAAGTGATGAATCACTGATTCTACTCCTGAAACCAGTATTATAACACTATATGTTAACTAACTAGAATTTAAATAAAAATTTGGAAGGAAAAAAATAGTAGTACGGAAAAGGTTTAGAACTAAAGCTGCTGCTTAGAAATGTTATCCTAGACCCTACTGCTCTGAATCAAGTTACTCGTCATATTTTAGATTCTACTTGAGGACATACTGTTTTATTTGCTAATCTGCAGTAAAGGAGTCCAGCTCATTGTGATTGACCAGGATTTAAACTTTAGGAAATTAACTGGTAATTCTGGGATCTATATGTTTATGACTAATGCTTTTTCCTTTGTTGGTTTGTTGATCATGTCAGCTGGGATTTCAGTGTTAAGGTAGAATTTCTGTGGCCTGTCCTTATCCCCCACGAGTAGCTTCTTGGCTCCGGATACTGAAGGCACAGGAATTGTGTTCTTCTCTTTCTTTCGCCTTGGGTAATTTGACCCACCACAAAAAGTAGTCCCAATGCAACCTGGCATTTGGATCTTTTTGAGCCACTGAAATAACTGATGTTCTAAGAATGATTGGAACAGATGTAACTGTTGAGAGATTTTGCTCTATTCACAGTGCATACACTCTGAAAATAGTGGATAAATTTAATATCCTCATGAAATATTCCAAAACAGAAAGTTGTTTGTTTGTTTTTTTTAGTTGAATTTCTACTAACAAGATTAAGAACTTTTATAGTAGTACGGAGTCAGTAGTAGGAGGTAGAATTTAATTTCAAGATTACTGGACGAATTTACTTCAGTGACCACACTGAAACATTAAACTAGAAAAGTACTCCTACACTTACACGGTGTTAAATGCCTGCCATGCCACCGTGTGGCCATCCCTATTTGTCCTTGCCTGGCAGCTTGAAACTAGCTCATTTGGCAGGTCTAAAAAAATGAGGTTACAGACCAGTACAACATTTTAATATATTTTCTTCTCTATTTTGTTCTGAGACTAAGAATTTGTGGGAATGCTGTAAGAATTTACTTAAGATTTTCTTAATCTCAGAGACATGAATATTAGTGGGAGGGAGGGTAAAATAGAACGTTAAAATCAGAACACTGAAACTTTCTTTAGAAGAGTAATTTTAAGAGCTATTTAAAAAGAAGAGATACCTGACTGTTGGTTTCCTATAGATGGAAGAGTTGATCTCATGAATTATTTAGTTTACTAACTTTCCCATCATTCCTCTTCTAGAATAATGTTCCCATCAACCTTCACTGGTCAGAAACTGTATGTAGTCTGGCTTTCCCACTTCCCTTTTATATTTTTTGGTGGTCCATCCCCTTATACTAGTCTAAAGTACATGTTCAAATAAGTTTTGGGGCAGTATAGTGTAATAGAACACTGATTCTGATTTTAGATTCACGTTTAGGCTTAAATCACAGCTCTGCCATTTACTACCTTATTAACTTGTACAAATTATTTACCATCTCCAGGCCCTGATTTACTAATACTGTTTGTAAAATAAATGTGATATTGTCCATTTCTGGGGCTCCCCAGACAAGGAAAGACGATGTTAAGTCGATTAGTAAGCATTGAACAAATGTGTTTTATCTTCCTAGTGGTCCAACACCCTTTGCTTAATAGAACTTTGGGACATACACTCTAATACATCATCTCTTTTAATGCAAATAATATTTTAAGTATTGAAATTAGAAGAAAGTATTTATGCGTTTATTCATGAGTGGAAACTAATTGTGTATTTAAAAGAATACGGGTAACTTCCCTTTAAATGCTTTTAAGAAGTCTCTTATAGTGTTAGTTCTTTACAGATAGTTTTATGGAAGAATAACTTATCATAAAACATTTCCTAAGGAGATTGTATTTTTTAAATACAGTCTGTTTTCCAGGTATCATGATGTATTTTCAGAGTAAATGTGTTGGTACAATGATTAAATAATATGTTGTTTCATGCATGTCTTTGTGGACAGGCTGTTTTCTTTCTGTGGTTATAAAGGTTGCTGTGGTTACTTCATCTCGGTTTGTAATAGTATCAGACTCACTCTACTAATTTGAAAGCGTTAGACCTGGAGACTTTACTTCCTAAGGAAATTAGCTAGATTTTTTATTTTAAATAAACATTTAAGCTAAATCTATTTAATGTTTATTTCCTTTGAAAGTAGTAGGCATATGTTAAATCACTTTTAAATAAGCTGTTTAATTTAGCATTTAAGCCTCCTGTCTTCCTCTTTGCCATGCTAGAGAGAAGTGGGTGAGAAATTCACTTGTCTACAGCAGTGATGCCCCTGGATGTGAGAGCCAACCTAATCTCTCTTATCACAAGTCTCATTGATGTTTGCTTAGAAGAACAGCTGGAAGTCTGCTTTATGTATGGCAACCTTTCATAAAGTTTATTCTTGGTAATAAATCTCCTGGGGTAAGAGCCAGGCTATTATAAGAGACAATCCTCTCTCTGAACAAGAGTATATTATTTTGTCAGCTGGAGTTAGTGTTTGAATATCTTGTGCTTATGACAATAAGCTGGTGAGTAAGGCAAGCTATCTCTGAAGGGTATTTTTTCACTGTTGAAATTAATGGCTTTCACTAGAAATGAGAATGCTGCTATAGGATTGTGATGTGAAGACAACAGTTACTTAAGTTGTTAGTGAAGTGAACTTGTGAATTTTTAGTACTTCAGTGAAAGAAAACATTAAAACTCATTTATAAACTTGAGACCTCATTGAATTTCTTGTTTGTTTTACATATTTAAATTTTCTTCTTGAAATTTATCAACACTAAAAAATAGTGAACACATCATGTATTCATTTTCCACTTGCCTTTTGTTAATATGGTGTTAGGCATAGAAGTAAACGTTGATTCATTAATCCAGCTAAGATTTACTGAGCATCTACTATATTGCTTTAATGATGCCTTAGTTATAACTTTTTTTAACTGTTATCTTGTGATTTTAATTTGATGGGATGTAGATAATAATCAAGAAGTGTAACCAAAAAAGCCAAAATAGATATTTTTTATGATAATGATAAAAATACTGTTGTCGTTTTACTTTCTCAAATCATAAACTGCTGCATATACATAATCTTTTTAAACGCATTATCTAATTGGAACCTTTGGACAGTCATATGAATTAGACAGGACAGAAGGTGTTCACCCCTTTTATAGATGAGAATACTGAGGCAAAGATAGATGAAGCGATTTGCTCAAGTTACTTGAAGTGGTAAATCTTAGACTGTTAAAACCCAGATTTTCTAACTCCTTTGTCAAAACAGTAAGATCCTCGTACTAGACTCTTGAAAGAGTCCTGTAGAGTATTTTAATTTAAAATTTATTTTAGACATAGTTTTTTAAAAATTTTATTATTTGATTTCTAACTTGTTGAAAACAAAAATGATCAATTTAGGACTATTTGTTAGTGCTAATCAGATTAGCACAAAGGATGGTGGAGAAAAACTGTAGCAAACATAAATCAAAAAGCATTGGGCCTGGCGTCACTTTGGCAAAGGATGTAAAGCCTCATACGTTTTAGTAGATGCCAAGTATTCTCTCTATTACAACATCATAAAATAATTCCCTTGGAATAATTCATTTGGAAAAATTTATGTGAAGGAAGTTGCATTGAAAATGTTTGCTGGCTGCATTTGGAAAATTAACAGATATTAACTTAATTCTCTATGCTCTTGGATAAATGAGGCATTGTTATGTTAACCTCTTACACTTTTAAGATTTGTACTAACGGTATTTTATACTGGTCTAATCACTGCTAACTTTATTAGACTTACTAGTCTTATAGTATACTAATCAGTTAACTTTGATCTGATTTCATTGAAATTCACCACTCTAAATTATTTACAATAGCTTTTGTTTCTGACCTTCTTAAGTATCAGAGTCCCTGTCTCTGGTACAGAAATAATATCTAGCCCTGACTGTGACAAAGGGCAGAGAGGCAGCACTTGAAGGTACTGATCATTATAGAGGGAGTTAAGAGGTAATACACTTGGGATGACCACTGAGACCTGAAAGTCTGAAACAGGCAGACAGGAACCTTCTACAGGGGTAAGAAAAACAAAACTTGTGATCTCTCAGAGGCAGATTTGATGCTTTTTTCTGCTCCCTTTCCTCTTTGTCCTGAGAAGGAGTTGTCCTCTTTTTCCCATAGGATTTCACTTTTGGCTTGCTTCCCTCATTATTTCATTACAATGCACTGCACCTGCTATGAAGGTAACTTGATTTTAATGAGATTTAGTTGATAACCAAATACTGAAAATGAGTAAACATATTAGGAAATGAGTCCTGGACGCAATGTGATATGTGATCTGTGAATAGGGAGAAATACTGTGTTGAATATGTGTGGAAGTGCTTTGCTCTCTTGCTCCACAATCAATGTTTAATTATTCATCATTCTTGAGGAATTTCTGTTAATTTGGCATCTTTGAACCCTAGTGGTATGGTATATCAAATGTTTATAATGTTAATCTCAAATCCTTGCAGGGCTTTCAAATTAAGGAGCAATTAAACTGATATCTTTTAATGATGAGACTATCTTACTGAATTGTAGTTCTTTTAAAGCTGGTAGTTTTAGGTAGGTTAACACCAGAATATTTGGTTTCTGATAATACTTGTAACCATGCTGCATAATATATTTTTATGTATTTCTTACGTCTTTTAGCAGTAATTTGAAAAGAACTTACTTGCTTTAAAAAGTTCGTCTTTTTATTTCATAAGTATAAAGTGGAAAAAAGAATATAAAATACATACAGGTGATAGTAATGATATATAAATGATGTATACCTATGTATTAAAATTAGAAAACTGTGAACAGATGTTCAGAGTAATAACCTCTGTATGGTAGGATTGTGGGCAGTTTTCTTTGTGCTTTTCTGTACTTTCTAGTTTTTCTAAGGTTAAGATATATTATTTTTATAGGACAAAGGTAAGAACAAAATATTCTTATGTTTGGAGAACTGAGTCTATCATAAGACTCTGTTTTGTTCTTAATTATCATGTGTTAAGAATGTACTTTCCCTTTATGGGTGAATTTTACTTAAATAACGTGAAAGTTTGCTGTTTTGGAGAGGTAATCTTTATTGCTGCTCATGAAACCATCCCATCCCCCTGAGGGCTCTTTGTTTGTGTGATGAGGTTTGTAGTTAAAGGAGACTTTTATTTTTAAAAGTTCTTTTTGGGGAGCCTGGATGGCTCCGTTAAGCGTCTGACTCTTGATCTCAGCTCAGGTCTTGGTCTCAGGGTCGTGAGTTCAGACTCCTCATTGGCCTCCACGCTGGGCCTGGCGCCTACTTAAAAAAAAATGATAGAAATCCTTCCTTTTTCTAAGCAGCATTAACCTCAGAAAGTCCTCATTTTTCATTGTTCTTTCCCTTCTTCTTCACTCATTTTTTCATATCCTGATTTCAAACACATGCATGTACTCTTAGGAAATGTTTATTTCACATAAAAATAAAGCTTCATTGTGAGTACAGGTTGTTTCATTAGAGTTGTGTGTTATTGAAAATTTGAATGTGGTCATAGTTTTAAAGTAGGCCATTTTATGGTGAGTAGAGGTTGACATTAGTAGTTTGTGGGAATTTGTAAATTATTTGTGTAAATTTTTATAGTTAATTATTTGTGAGAATGATAAATTTGTGTTTAATGAGAGCTTCTGGGTTCATAATGTTCTATTCACTGAAGTCTTATTTAGAAAGGATGAGAGAAAAACCAAGGTTAAAAGACATAAAATATGGGATGCTATGAAATGTTTCCAGAATCAGAGGATCTTGTAATACATTATGTTAGATCTCTTGCTTTGAATTTTATTAATTTGGATTTAATACCTACTTTCCCCACTAAAGCCTAGGTATATTTAAAAACTATGTCCATAGTTGGTCCCAGTGTTATTTAAATGTATCTGTGAAGTTTTGATTGTTGGCGCTTTGATCGTTAATCATCATTTCAAAAGAAAGCTATTTTTTAAAATACAATTTTCTTAACTAAAAAAAAAAGATGAAGGGATTGTACTAGTGAGTTTCTAAAATTCTGTTAATGTGTAAAATGAATTGAGTAATACAACAGACTGTTTTCTCTATAAGAGGCTCTTTAGTGCTTGGTTTCTCAGACCAGGTTTCTTCCTCCATGTGCCTGGGGCCATGCAAAGGCAGTTAAACTTGTACAATTCTCTTGATGATTTGGGGACATTTTTGTATTAAAAGAAATGTATATTTTAATGTAAAATTACAAGAGTGAGTGCGTGTATGTGTGTGAGTTTCTGTGTTTATGTGTGTGTATTTAAACTAAACTAGGAATATTAAGAGTACTTTTACTATTGTTGAAGGCAGCTTGGTCTATACCCCCAGATTCCTGAAGGAATTTGCATGTATTCTCTATTGTTAGGGCTTCCTGGTGTGGCAGAGTCTAAGAAAATGCTTGAATGTATGGGCTGGTGTGTCATCCATAAATATTAATTATACAGCCATGCTTATTTTAATTGAGATTAAGAGGCAAATATGAATTTAATTCTTTTTTTTTTTTACAGTTTTTAGAGGAAAGATTTCAGACATATGCAATAATAGACATATAGTATATTGGTCATCTAGTAACCATCATTCAGCTTCAGCAAATATCAACTCATGCCATTCTTTAGGAATTTAATTTTATGTATATTTGCTCATATTTGCCAAGATAAGCATCTGTAAGGTCAAGGTACTGACATCAGAAGCATTTCTGAACAAAGATGTTGCAGTTGGTGGGTGGGTATGACTGTGTTCAGCTGTTGTATAAGCTTGCATAAATAGTATCATCTTGACTTTAATCTTTCGGTTGTTCAGAGGTAGTGTGCATATTTCTGTTTAACCCCTGGAAACTTGCCAAAATAATTTGTATCCTCTCCATCCTTGGCACCTTGACTCTAAATAGTCTATGAGTAATAGCAGTAAGTTGATGTTAGGAGCCTGTTGGATAGAGCCATTAAGAAGGAAAATCTTCATTTTCAATTTAAAAAACTTGAGAATTACCTCGTTAATGTTTTAGATGCTATATAATCTGTTTCACTTTCATCTGCTTTCGAAATACACTTTATAAACATGAGAACATAGAGTCAGACAGACCTGAATTCAGATCTCAGCTGGCCTGAATTACTTACCTTCTCCAAATCTCACTTGTTCAAATGTAAAATGGGGATATGGATTGTTGTGTGAAGTAAATGAAATAATACATTCAACACTGGTTATCTTGAAATGTTGTTTGCACTCAGTGATTGAATAGATGTATGTCCTGAGTTCAAGTCAGTTGGATTTGTGTAGCTGAAATTGAGGAAGTACTATTTGTAATTACTAGGCTACTTAGAAAGGGGAGCTAATCTTTACTTTGTCATACCTAGTTTTCTGACTGGTAGGTATAAGATCTAAAGGTATAATGGAAGATCTAAAGATATAATGGAAGATCTAAAGATAGAAAATGTTCTTTGAACAAATACTGTATTGAAACAAAGCATTAGAAAAAACATGCCTTACAGTTGTTTCTTATCAAATAATTACAGCAAACCCTGGCCTGTTCTATTCTAACTGCACTATTGAGTGAATTCTCAAGTTCAAGTAAAACTAGCAACATTGGACTCAGTATGGAATTCCATGGTAACTGTAAAAGAGTTTTTCAGGTATTGGTTTTTTTATGTTTTATTAGATTGTTCACTTTTTACACAATCTGTTCCTAGTGGAGTGAGAACATTTACTTTATCTAGCTGAATGTGGCCTGTACTTGAAGATTTGTGTTGTGATTTCATAGCATTTAGTAAAGGATAAAAGATAGGATAGGATAAAGATTTGGTGAACATAGCTGACAGTTTTAGCTTTCTTGTTTAATTCTAGTCTTTAAACAAAAAGGAAATACCACTCCAAAGATCCTTAGATTATTTATTTTGTTCTTATTGCGTTTAGATGTAACTAATTCAATTGGTGGGACTTTGCTGGCCTTAAAATAGGCCTGGCAGAATGCCAACAAGGGCCATGTATTTAAAATGTTATTGCAGATGGTGTGGGCTCTTTGTCTCATATGTATTGTTTGGCTCTGAAGTAAAGTTATGTGAAGGCATTGGCTTAAATCCGAGGGCTCTGCACTAAAGCAACTGACCCCTCCAGCTCTGTAGTAGTTGTCAAAGACTCAGCTTCTTTACGGAGTAGCATTTATATTACAGTAGATGCATTCAAACTGGTGTCACTTGAAAGCATACTTGTGATATAAATTATGAGCAGACCTAAAAATGGAAAATGTTCTTAAAGAGGTAGTGTTTTTGCATTGAATATTTTAAGGTTTTTGTTTTGTTTTATGGTTCTTAAATGGGAATACATTTTGAATAAGCTTTTGATTGAAAAATATGTGTGATTTATTTATTATAGGAAGAAGACCTTCGTCAAATCTTCATGTTAACGGTTGAAGTTCTTCAGGAGTTCAGCAGGCGGGAGAACCTCAATGCTCAGATGTCTTCGGTATTTCAGCGTTACCTTGCACTCGCCAATCAAGTCTTGAGCTGGAACTTTCTTCCTCCAAATTATATCCTTTTAACAACCAAAGAGTTTATTTGTGGTTATTTTCATAGATGACTTAATTATGGCTAAAAGTACTTCATCTCTGCAGGTTTGTAAAGCATGTTGTTGAAAGAAAAGTCTTTTTAGAAATGGAATTTAATGTTTTTTTCATTTTATAATACACAATGCAATGGACTACTTACAGGATTTAAAATTTCATTTACAACCTTGTAGAAGAGAGTCAAATAAATGGAAGCATTTAGTGGATAAGGGGGCTGTTGCTAACTAAGAAATAGCAGTGTTCCTTAGGAAGGAAAAGGAAGAAGGTGGGAAGCGAATTCAAGAAACTGAATCATTTCCTCCATGTGACATGTGATTACATTGGATTTTTTGGCTGACTCTCGTAAGACTAATTTGGCATTCTCTAATTTGACCTTTATGGATGCAGATATTGTTCAAGTGTAGATAGTAAGGTAGTAGTATGTTTATTCTTTGAAGACCTTTTTTAATATAAAAATATAAAACTTTTATTTCTAGCTAATTAGCTCATACAAAATAAGTTTAAATGGGTTATATTGTAGGTTTGTATGTCTGCTTTTTAAAAATGAGTTATTAAAGCTGAAAAATTTGTATTTCTTAGTTTAAGGTTTATGATTTGCTTTCTAGAACATTTGCTGCCTATTGATAGATTGAAAGCAGTACTATCTAGTGTCTCTTCATCTTTATCATAGTTGAATCAGACAAATCTAGGTTCAATTCTTAGCTGATGTTAGGCAAATTACTTAACATCACTGAGTCTCAGTTTTTCCAAATATAAAATGGGGATATGGATTGTTGAGTGAATTAAATGTAGCAATACATTTAAAACACTCAGGAGTTAGCTACTATTTATTGAGCTTTTAATAGTTTACTTGAATAAAGAAGCTCATCAGCTGTCTGTGTTCTACTTTTTTCTTGACTTAATATATAGGAAATTTAATTTCCCTTGTTATACATGTCTTTAATCAGTATTTTCTTGGGGGCCTGGGTCTGGGGGGTTAAGGAATCTATTTAGGAGAAAAAGATGACAAGCATATAGGAAATACATATTTAGCCATACCAGAGATTTAAGATGAGACTCATCTTTGCTACAACAGAGCCAAGAGTTGCTACGTTCACATACTAGAAATTACCTACTGTTTTGGGCTGGTAAAATTGTGGGATTTTAAAGGGGCTAAGTGTGGTTAGGTACAGCATTTTCTTCTATTTTCAAGTTAATACACTCATGTAGTAGAAAACTGTGAAAAGCTGGACAGGGTATTGAGTCTCTGATTCAGTTGAGTTCTCCAGTTTTCTTTCCCCAAGGCAGTCATGGTGAGCTGCTGCTCTGTGGGGCAGAGCTTACAGGGATGTTAATCACTTTCTGCTTTTATCTCTGCTCGCTGATCACCTTTCTACTCATTATTAATTTTATGTCTTCAGTATATTCTCTTTGGTTGTTAAAAGGCACATATTTTCCTAGGTTTGCTTTTTAAAAAATTTCCCCTTTGAGTGTTGCAATATAATTTTTGCTCCAGTTTTTGTTAGTAAAAAGAAAGATGTTGAAAAACTTTGAGACAGATTTAAAAAGTAGCAGGCCATATGGAGTTATCAAAACATTAATTACATATGTAGGGAAAATCAACAAAAGTTACACTGCATATATTGGAGCCAATTTTAAAGTCTGTGTTTTAGGGGGAAATGTAGTTGGCTGAAGAGAGACTGTTTTGTAAAGGCAAACAGTGCTGTGGGAGTTTGGAAACAAAGTTTGTCTAAAGATACACACACATAAAATATTTTCACAAAGTATTTAGATAAAGCTTTGGAAAACCTGTCATCTGCAGGCTACAGTGTTCCCAAAGGAAATAATTCCTTGTTTAAAGAAAAGTAGATCTTGACCTTCATATATTCTACTTCATGACTTACAGATGTATTCATATCTGACCATAGATGTTTGCATAGTAGCCATTTGTTGGCCACCTGAACTCCAGTCCAGTACTGCTTCCTTTAAGTGGATTAGCTTTAAATGTAGGGGAAAGAGCATGGCAATGGAATTCAACTAAGCTACACTTTTAGTGCTAATTAAGGAAGTCAGTTTCAAGGAACCCGATTCTGGTATAATTTCTAGTTTTGGCAATTCCTTGGTGATCTCTGTAACCATTGGGAAGAGAATTGGATAATTATTTAACTTAGTACCTTGAAGAGAGCCTACAGATCAAATTTAACTTAGTTAATATAAAGTGGTTGGCTTTTTAAAAAATGATATATCTTTTAAGTTAGAATAATAGCTAGTAGACCTTGTAGAATGTGTGTTTTGTATCAAATATATTGGATCATTTAGAATGGTATCATATTAAATGAGGCTGTGTTAAATTGCCAGTATTAGTCCCTATTCATAATTTTTTGTAATGTGCTTTCTATTTTGCATCTTTCTATTTTGATGTAATTCTAAACATACAGAGATACCACAAGAGTAATTCAAAGAATTGGGCGGATGTCCTAATACCAAGATTAGTCATCAGTTGAAAACATTTTGTCCCTTTCTTTTTCTTTTTCTTTCTTTCTGTCTCTACATACACATAATTTTCTATTGTAAGAATATACCAGATTTCTAGTTATTCATGGATCAGTTGATTGACAGTTGGGTTGTTTCAGCTTTTTGGTTATTATGAATAATGCTGCTGCTATGAACATTCATTGTAAGTTCATGTTTGGATTTACATTTTCATTTCTCTGGGATATACCTAGGAGTAGAATTGCTGGATCATGTGGAAACTCTGTGTTTAATCTTTTGAGGAGTTGCCAACCTGTTTTCTAAAGTAGCTGTACCATTTTACATTCCCACCAACATTATATGAGGTTTCTAATTTCTCCACATCCTGGCCAACACTTGTTATTTGTCTGTTTATAGCCATCCTAGTTCATTTGAAGTGGTGATCTCATTGTGATTTTGATTTGCATTACCCTGATGGTTAATGTATTAAACATCTTTTTATGTGGTTGTGGGCCATTTATGTATCTTCTTTGGAAAAATGCCTGGTGAGATCCATTGTCTATTTTTTAATTGTTGTGTCTGTTTAAAATTGAGTTGTAATAGTTCTTTATATATTCTGGATACAGGTCCCTTAACAGATACATGATTTTCAAATATTTCCTCCATTTCTCTGAGTCATATTTTAACTTTTTTATGATGTCCTTTGAAACAGAAAATTTGAATTTTGATGATGTCCAATTATTTTTTCTTTTGTTGTCGTATCTCAGAAATCATTGCCTGATCCAAGGTCATGAAGATTTATTTATGCCTGTGTCTTCTTCTAAGACTGGCTTCTTAAATGTAGACTCTTCCTTCATATGAAGACTTTGATCTGTTTTGAATTAAGTTGGATATATGATGTGAATTGGTGATCAGGCTTAATTCTTTGGCATGTGGATTTCCAGTTATCCCAACAGATAATTGACTATTGATTAGAAAGATAGAAGAGGCTGGGGGAGTAGGAAGTACCTGAGATATGTCATGGTGGTGAATGATTGCTCTATCTGTTAATATGTAACTTAATTGTCCTAACGTCAGTTTTTAATTTAGAATACAAAAGGATTGATAGGAGAAATTATTCATATAAATCAGTGATCTGTAAGGTTAAATATGCATGCTGAGCCTCCAAGTTTGTATTTACATAGATAGTTGTTGATAAAGGATATGATTGTAGACCAAAATATACATTAGATTGCCTGGAAGGAAATTTTGTATCGTTAGCTGCTGAAGCTTTTGGAAATTTCTTACAGAGAAGTATGTAAATTATGATATAAAAATGTTATCAAGAAAGCCAGTTGAAGCTAACTCAGCAGTGGAGCTAGGATGTGCAGAGAGGTATTAATGAAAAGAATACATGAATATTTAGATATTTATTAATATTTAAGAGTATATAATACTTTTTTTTTTTTTTAAAGATTTTATTTATTTATTTGACAGAGACACAGTGAGAGCAGGATCACAAGCAGGGGGAGAGGGAGAGGGAGAAACAGGCTTCCCGTGGAGCAGGGAGCCTGATGCGGGGCTCGATCCCAGGACCCTGGGATCATGACCTGAGCCGAAGGCAGACGCTTAACGACTGAGCCACCCAGGCGCCCCTATAATACTTTGTTTTGCCGTGATTTTAGGTCAAGATTAATGTACATACATAGAGTTTCACTGAAGACATCATAACTCTACAGCAGTGGTTCTCAGTTGGGGTGATTTTGCACACTTGAGACATTTGACAATGTCTGGAGACGTATTTGGTTATCACTTCTCGGGAGTGTTACTGGCAACTGGTGGGTAGAGGCCAGGGTTACTGCTAGACATCTACAATGCACAGGGCAGCTCCTACAAGAAGCAGTTATTGTGCCCAAAATGTCAGTGATCCACACAAAAACTTTTATGTGAATGTACTTAACAGTATAATTTATAATAGGCAAAAAGTGGAAATGACCCAAGTAGCCATCAACTGATAAATAGATACATGTGGTTTACCCACATTATACACTATTATTTATCAATAAAAAGGAATGCTGATACTGATACATGCAACAACATGGATACACCTTGGAAACATCATACATCCTAAGTGAAAGAAGTCATTCACAGAAGACCACATGTACGATTCCAGATTAGTGGTTACCTAGGGCTGGGACGGTTGGAAGGAAACAGGAGGTGATGGCTTAGGTGCATGGGGCTTTTTGGATGATGAAAATGTTCTAAAATTATATCATGGTGATGGTTGCATAACTCTGAATATACTAAAAACCATTGAATTGTACCATCAATGAGTAAATTGTGTAGTATGTGAAGTAAGTCTCAAGGCTTTAAAAATATCAGTCATGCCAAGGGTTAGAAATTGTGCGGTAAAGGTCAACTGCCAACTGTTGTAGAATGTTAATAGAGGGAAATTAAGGGTAAAGATAAAGTTTTGGGAGATATTCCTTTTATGGGGCCATTGAAGTAAAGGGAGTGAGAAAGATCATTCAAAG